CCTAGTTCCAGTACTTCTCTCCCTTTCTTTGTTTTATTTTTTATTATTATTATTTTGACAAGATGTTGATGTAAGATTTACATTGCAGAGTTCAACTTGTAATATTTTTTCTTCTCAGGGAATTGCTCTGATAATCACAGTTCTGCAAATTGTCCGTGTACCTAATCTCAAGGTAGTGTTTCAAATTTATTTGCTCCATCTTGTTATATTTTAGACTTGTACGAACCGTCTCTTAGATTCCTTTCATTTGCCCTTCGGAATGTCTAAAATAATCAAATATGGAATGATTTTGACAAATACTACTATTTCTAGAAAATAAGTTGTTATTATGACATAATTCTGGTTGGTTTATGAATCAGGTGGGAACAGTTCTGCTCAGTTGTGCCTTCTTATATGACATCTTTTGGGTGTTTGTTTCAAAGAAGTTGTTCCATGAAAGTGTGATGATTGTGGTAAGTAATCCACCGTATCCAACTCTAGCCCTTGTGCTATATTAGAATCAGAAGGTTTTGTCTTCAGACTATTAAGATATTCAAAATTTGAAAGGCTAGAAAGTGATACTGATTGCTTGTGTCTATTCCATAGGTAGCTCGTGGTGATAAAAGTGGAGAGGATGGCATTCCAATGCTACTGAAGATCCCACGCATGTTTGATCCATGGGGGGGTTATAGCATAATAGGATTTGGTGACATCCTTTTACCTGGATTGCTGATAGCATTTTCACTCAGGTTTGAACTTTGCAGTCTTCACTTGCAAAATCTTTTATTCCTCTCAGTGCTTTGTTCATGCAAACTCATCAATTAATGTTCATACCTTTCTTTTCAGATACCTTCCATATTGGACAGTTTTTGTTTAAAATATTCAACTGGCTCATAAGGAGTTTTTTTTTGCGCACCCGGGGGGGGGGGGGGGGGCACAGTTGCTCTTAAGGAGTTATTCACTTTTTAATCAGAGAGGAGAGAGCTATTTTTTTGACTATTTAAGTAATAAATTGTATTTCAGAAGACACTTAAGTCTGACATCCTTTTAAAATGGTTCTATAATATAGCATATAAAAAAAAATGAAATTTCCACTTGAATATCTCATGTTTCAAGCTGCAAAATGAATCTAACTGTTAGTAAAAATACGATTATCATGTATCATTTTCCTCCCAAGGAGTATTAGAAATATTTATTTATCCCTTTCTCTCATGGAGCTGACAGAAATAGCTGATTTTTTTGCTGCTAATATTCAAAATTTATAGGCATGCTTTTTTGGCCATTGAATTCTCAAATTATTGCTAATTTATCTGCTTAGAAGTTAGAACTCACTTGACCACTTGTGGTTACAGGTATGATTGGCTGGCAAACAAGACTCTTCGATCTGGATACTTCTTGTGGGCAATGATTGCTTATGGCTTAGGTAAGAGATGATAAAGAAATCATGTTGGTCCCAAAATAAAAAACAATCATATTTTTCTTGTTACAATGACTGCGAAAACATTGTTTGTTGATAAATGAATAGAGAGACAACTTCTGAAAATTCCCTTCATTTTGTTGCTATTACCATAAATTTTACCTAGGTTTTGCAAATGACTGTTTTCTACTACTCCTTTCTCACCCATGGCAGGTCTTCTCGTTACATACGTGGCACTAAATTTGATGGATGGACATGGTCAACCAGCTCTCCTTTACATTGTCCCTTTTACACTTGGTAATTTTTGTTACTGCAATCAGTTTTCTTCTTCCCTTTTTTTGGGTCCAATCCAGGTTGAGGAGTTGAAAGCTACAGTCCGGTTACTTTCAGGTGACAAAAGTTTAACACCTTGTTGCAGGAACCTTTTTGAACCTTGGAAGAAAGAGAGGTGATCTAGGAGTTCTCTGGTCAAGAGGAGAACCAGACAGACCCTGCCCCCATATCCAACTCGAACACCAACATAATGAAGACTTGAACCACGAAAAGTAGGACCCCTTTTGTAAAGTTTGTAGTGTGTGGCTTAGGTTGATCATTTGAAACTTACTGTAGCTCTAGCATAAATCTCAATGCCCTTTAAAGCTAGACAGGGCATGTTATGAATTAACAATAGTGTGTCTCCTTAAAAAAAAAAAAATTAGAGTGGTGTGCATTTGATAAGCTTCAATGAATTGCTTCCAAAATAATTTGTATCTTTCATCCCACCATTTTGCTTTGCTTTGCCGTAAGTATTTTCATATTAAATTTTTTAGATTGAGAAGAGTTAAAGATGGAAATGGAAAGGAGAATCTACATATTCAATTGTGGAATTTCAAGAGAATTATACTAACAAATACAATTAAAGCTAAATTTCTTTTATTTTCTCATGTGGGTAAGAAAAAATGGGATAAACAGGTAGTATTAATTTCAGGGCTGGCTTGCTGGATTGCTGGATAGAGTTCCTTGATTTATAAATTGTCATCAACATTCTCAAGTATTCCAAGGCAGTTAATATCAACAATAAACTTTAATGTTGTGGAAGCAAATATGATCAATAAACTTTATTTCAAAATCTTGAAAGGAACAGGACAGGACAGCACAAGTACAACAGAGCACCGAAAGTTTAATAAACAAGAATGAGTTTCTAAAGGCTTAAAAGTGAATGATTGGTCATTTTTCAACCTTCATGGAACGAGAATGCTTCAATAATTTGCACATTAGCTTGAGCTGAAATAATGGAATGGAGGAGAAATTAAAAAAAAAAAAAATCAAAGCCAGAAATTCAATGATTAAATACATATTCTCATATCAAAATGTATCATTAATTACGTATAAGTATAGCTTAATTTTACCTAGCAGCTACCCACCCTTAATCTTTTCTCCAAAAAAAAAGTACAACGAAAACTGCTGATTATGGGGGCTATTGCATGAGAACTAAAATAAAAAGTTTCATATTCATGAAGGAAAGTAAGCCAGTTCATATTTTATAATAATCCCAAAACACATATTGTAATCCAGTAGGGGTCTGGGATGATCACTTTTGTTGGCAGTCAAACCTACCAGTAGGGGGTCGCCACGTGTCCCCTTGACGACCCACTTGCAACCATGTTGACATAAGACAATTGCCAAATGCCAAGTGTCAACCGAAAAAAAAAGGCTCGTTGGGTGATGATGATTAGATGTTTAATACTACTAGAAAGCTCCTGTTTAGGTCAGGTTTGACTGTGGAAAGGGGCAAAGGCAGCATGTGAGGTATCCCGTGAGTATGGGCTGTCTAGCACGATCATTTTGCTCCCTTTTTCATATATAAAGTTAAAGAAGAGGATCACTTTGTTGAGGCTCTGCCCTCAATTCCTCACTGGCTAACCGAATAAATACAGCAATCAGGCAACCAAAAAAAAAAAAAAAGTGATTGTTGAATGAATGGTATGCCATATGTGGCCCAAGCTCCAAACCCCTTTTTTCCTGTTTGTTATCATGTTTAGGTCATGGAAATATAGTTAAATGTAAAACATCAAGACAATCCATGTCTCCCAAGTAAACAAACGTTAGCTGTTTGGTCATGGATACCAGAGTAATTGAAGGAATATTGCAAATTGCGTTGAATGTATTACAGTCTTTTGACAAATTATTAAGCCTTGGGAAAGGTGTTTTGTTCTTCACCATTCATGAACCTTCCCCTTATTCTAATCCTGGAAAAGGCCAAAGAACCATGCAACTTCATTTCAGATTCCTAAAATTTTGGTTACGTACATTAATTATGTTACTAATAATTGCCAACAACAATGGGACCCGGCCCATGAAACGTACGATTTACGTGAAAAGGATAGAACAGTAATTTTCCCTTTCCGATATTTTCCCACAAATAAACGTTGCTCAGTCTCATGTGGCCGTCACTTTCTACAACGGTAACCCAAACGGTCAATTTTACCCATCATTTCATTTTCCCTTCTTTCTTTCTATTTCCCATTTGCCTCTTAAAGTCCCATTTTCCTACCGTTTAAAGAAAAGACAAAAAAAAAAAAGAAATATATATATTTATATTTATGTTTATATATATATATATATATCGTTTCGCCGTGGAGCTGAAAAAAGTAGCGTTGGTTTGAAAAATGACCATTTTGCCCCTATATTACTTCATGTCACGAGAGTGATATAAGTGCTGTGAAAGTGAAACAGCATCATTCCCCATTTCCCAATCAAGTTTGCAAAAACAAATCACGACCGTCCAAAGGGTTGCACGTTGCAGTCAGGAGTGCAAATAAAATATTAATATTTATAAATTATTTTAATTAAATTTAAATAAAATAAAATAAAATTTTAATTTAATTATTATTGAATTAAATTTAAATTCAAATAAATTGATTTATTAATTAAATTAAATTTAAATATTTTTATGTTTAATTTAAATTGTTCATGAATTTAATTAAATTATTATATTTTAATTAATAAAATATTTTAAACTTAAATTTAAGTTCAAATATAAATAATTAAAATTTTATCAAATATAAAAATTAAATTTATTTTTTTATATTAATCAAATTTAATCTAATAAATTCGAATAATTTAATTTTATCTCTAATTAAATTCGAGTTAAAAAATAAAATTTAATCAAATTTGAATCAAATTTTAAATATTAAATTTAAAATTAAATTTAAATTTAAATTTAATACTATATTAATTTAAATTTGATAGACTACGTCCCTTAATCAAATAATGAAATTGTTTATTGATTACGGTGATATAAGCAATTAATCTCCCAATCAAATACTACCTTCAAAATTATAACAGACCAAAACGGTATTCTTTAAATATTTTATTGTCTACCACGGAATTTCTTTATTCTGATTAGGATGTTTGGTGGACAACGATATGGCCCAAAACAGCTAATCAAGTTAATCAAAATGAAGATCTTGCTTTTTCTATTTAAAAAAAAAAAGAAACCCTGTTGAGGATAAGAACAAAGGTATAAACCAACAGGAACCCTGTCAACATCCACTTGCTATTTCCAGAACAATCCTTTCGAAATGAGATACACTACACTATCTATCTATAAAGTCACCATATTCTTCACCTTTCTTCTATCGGTACTCATTTGCCTTGAGGGTTTGTGTTGAGATAGAGAGAGAAAAAAAATCGTCAAGCATTGTTTGTTGAGTGGGTGAAAGAAGATGGAGGGCAAAGGGGAGGATGTTAAGCTAGGAGCAAACAAGTTCCCAGAGAGACAACCTATTGGGACATCAGCCCAGACAGACAAGGACTACAAGGAGCCACCACCGGCACCATTGTTTGAGCCTGGTGAACTCAAGTCATGGTCTTTCTACAGAGCTGGCATTGCAGAGTGTATGGCCACCTTCTTGTTCCTTTACATCACCATCTTGACTGTCATGGGTGTGTCTCAGTCTAAGACAAAATGTAATAATGTTGGTATTCAAGGCATTGCTTGGGCCTTCGGTGGCATGATCTTTGCTCTTGTCTACTGCACTGCTGGCATTTCAGGTCTCCTTCCTCAAACTTTTAATGGGTAGTCTGTAGATTTTGGTTTCTTTGGCTAATTTTTCAAACTCCAAAAAAAAAAAAAAGGGTTTTGGCTTTGGTTTCTATGGCTAATTACAAAGCTTGGAACTTTTTCTTGCATATTACACCTTAGGCTAACCTAATATCTTGAAGATGCTTAAGATTCTTTCGTAAAAGATGTTTAATAACCAGATCTGCATTTGTTTTTTGTGACTTCAGGTGGCCACATCAACCCAGCTGTGACCTTCGGGCTGTTACTGGCTAGGAAGCTGTCCCTTACCAGGGCAGTTTTCTACATCATCATGCAGTGCCTCGGTGCCATTTGTGGAGCTGGTGTAGTGAAGGGATTCCAAGGTGACAGTCGATATGAGTTGTTGGGTGGTGGAGCTAACGTTGTGAAACCTGGTTACACCAAGGGTGATGGTCTTGGTGCTGAGATCATTGGCACTTTTGTTCTTGTCTACACCGTTTTCTCTGCGACTGATGCCAAGAGAAACGCCAGAGACTCTCATGTTCCTGTACGTATTTTTTTTTTCCTTGTCCTTGTATGTTTTACTTGACTTTAAATTTACATGAAACAGATTATCTGCCTTTAATTAATCATTATCTTTTTGTTTCTCATAACTTGATTTTGCAAGAACTGTCATTAATCGTAGTGGATATAACCATCTGTATGGGTATTCTATAGATATCAACTAGAGGGGAACTTTTACTGCCTAAGCAGCATAGTTTAAAACGATAGCTAGTTTTCTTAAGTTTTAGCTAGGTTCAACTCCACACCAAGTTGTTTGAGGGGTTTTTTAATCAAGGCAAAAGTAAAGGAAAAAAGTTTTAAGACTGAAGTCCTCTTATATGAACCCCTAACTGATGACCTCATTGCATCCAGTTTGGATTGAGACCTACCTATATGTTAGTTCTATGTTTGTTAGATGAAAAATCTAGCATCATGCAGAAATGGCCACCTTAATCTACCATGATTTTTTATTTTTTATAAAATTAAAACGGCATATTGGTACTACAACACAAGCATTACTTCTACCAAAATAGTGGTGGGATAGATCATACACTTCAATGGCCATATGTTAGCGACGCTAGAATGATTCTTGTTCAAAAGGTTATGTTTTCTTAAAGAGAATGATTAGGTGTGTTCAAAATCTTATGGTTTTGATACTTAGAATACAAGGGGGAAAGAAGTTGGGAAGTTGGAGAAATCAAAGAAAAGAAGGTTAAAAAAAAATCTGATTTCAATATCCAAACATTCAAAGTCTAGATCAAAAAAGATAATAGATAATATTTAAAGTAATTCTGAATCCTTACTAATGTCATTTTTACCTAGTTTGAACGTTTTGCTTTTAATTGGAATTTCTCTCTATTTTTCTTTGTTCTTTGTTTTACTTTGTCTTTCTTTTCTCTCATTATCTTTCTTCTAATTCTAATTCTCCATTGTTCTCTCCTTATTGGTAAAAAATGTTGGTAAAAAAATGTCGTATAGTCTCTAATTCTTTTTCATACTAGCGTGGCAAGGAGTTAGTAATTAAAATTCTTATTGTGCTTTTTTGTTTATTTGAAACTAAACCAGCCACCTCAAATTGAAAACCGATTGGAACTCGCTGTCTAATACATTCCACTCTCCTAAATATGCAAAATTTACTTAAATTAGAGGTGAATTTCTTGAATTGTAGCCCTTTTTAATGTATTTCTGGCCACTACATTGCAGATTTTAGCTCCCCTTCCCATCGGGTTTGCAGTGTTCTTGGTTCATTTGGCCACCATTCCCATCACTGGAACTGGTATTAACCCAGCAAGGAGTCTTGGAGCTGCCATCATATATAACAGAGACCACGCATGGGATGACCATGTAAGTATCCTTCTGCATTCGCCTTTCTTTTTCTCCACTGACGTCGTTAGAGATTGATTAGAATTTGCCTTTGCTTGCAGTGGATCTTCTGGGTTGGACCCTTCATTGGAGCAGCTCTTGCTGCAATTTACCACCAGATGGTCATCAGGGCTATTCCTTTCAAGACCAGAGCTTGAAAAGATGAATCATCAGGTCTTGCATAGTTTCTTCTACGTATTGTTCTCTTTTTCTGCCTCACTTCTTTGTTTGCTTCTCTCACTTCCTTTGTGTCAATGTGTGTAAATTATCTAGTGTTATGCTGTACTGAGTTCATTAAACTTATCAATGGAGGATTCCTTTTCTCTCTTTCCGTACTTTCTCTTCAATCCTACTTCCATATGATTTTATTTTTGGTGACTATTCCATTTGAAATCTTTCCTTGTTGAATTGCATTTGCAAAGCCTTCAAGTAACTTAATAAAATGAAGATTTCTTTTGATGGTTTCTCAATCAATGTCGCAACCATTGATATTAAGAAATTGAGTTATCAATTTTCTTCATCAATCATCAATATCGATGCTGCTTTGTATATATGGAAAATACAGATGAGGACTTGGCGAAAAGGCTATGGCCTATGAGACATTACGTTGGGCTTTGACCAAAACCTAAGTTTCTATAAGCTTGGTCCATGAAATCCCATTTATCTTCCATATTATCTTAACTTTTTCAAATTTTTTGAGTGTAATTCTGAACATGTGAACCTATTAAAAATTTGGGTGTGTCGCCTTCTTCTTAAGTGACCAAAATCCTTTCCCCCTTAAGAAGGATTAGTCTAAATGGTGTTTTATTATTGCTATGTAACCTAAACGATGGGGAGTATCTCTCTTTTGTGTCTATTAAAATTCAAAGTTGAAAATTGAAGCCGTTAAAAATGTTGCTCGAGGATAGTAGCATCTTTAAACCAAGACAGGACAAAAAAAAAAAAAGGTAGTGTCTGTACAAATGAGGAGACACAGGCAAGGGTCACAATGAAAATATAGTAGTATTTTTTTTTTTGGTTGAAAAAAATCCGAAGGTAGATGTATAATTTTTTTATATCATGACAAAGTGATCGTGAGATTATGTATTCGATATAATTTTAATAAATAATTATCAATAAAACTCAAACTTAAAATTTTTCTACGAAAATAACAAATCCCTTCATTAGAAGAACGAATTTTAATTGACTGAGCTAATAATTTGATGGAAATATACTAGTATTATTCTAGTGCTACTGCTACTAATAGAGTTGGGTTAAAAGCCTAAACTAATCCCAAATTGAAAAGTGGAGACAGGCCTTGTGGCCAAGTCCAATTGCTGTAGGAGCTAAAAGATAGACAGAATCAACATCATTCTTAATTGACATGATATTACATAAATAGTTTAGATATTGAGGACGGTGCAATTGATATAAATTTTTTAGTTTTATATATTTTTATCATTAATTTTAATAAATTTAAAAGATAAAATTAAATTATTTTTTAATTTTTCTTTCATCCTTTAAATTTATTAAAATTAATTATTAAAAAATATATAAAACTAAAAATTTTACACTATACAAATAAATACATCCTCTTGGATAATACCTATTCAGTAAATAGTGTAATAAATTTGATAAATTATGTAAAATTAAAAACTTACAAATTATTTTCCTATGTGAAATAATGTACATCTAAAGTCTAAACAACAGTGTAAATATACTTTAAGAAATGAACATCATTTTTTTATAGAAAAGAAATGAACATTATTGGATGTATACAAAATAGAGTATACAGGGACTAGGTCACATGCGTATATTAATTAGTGATAATTAACATTAATAATGTAGGAGTGATGGTTTAGTTGTAGATTAAGCCATCCATCCTATGACATGTCAGGATCTCATTTCTTCCCTACCGAGTAGAAATTGTTAAGGAACAGATGGTGTGGTCGATGACTTATTAGATTTGGCAAAGTTTTTATTTTTTGGGATTAAGGATTGGCAAAGTCTTGACCTTTGGCAAAAGCTGCTAGTCTGCTTCTCAAGTGAATCTGTTCCTTTGGCCTTTCGGGTAGTTTAAGTGTAACTGTAAACTACTCTACAGTAGAAAACATGTGGATTTTTGGGTGGAAAGGACCATCTGGGTTCTCTGCTTCTTCTACAGCAGAAGAGGTTACTCAAGGGATTGATGGAACTGGTCTCACTGCCATTGTTACAGGTTTTTTTTTTTTTTTTCCTCTTTTCTGTTACTTAGACTCCTTTTTTGATCTGGGTTTTTGTCTTGGTCTTTCGTTGTAGATGTCATTTTTTTAATCTAAACCTCTGTTTGGTTGGTTGGATAGTTTTGGGAAAGACTTTCTTTTTATAGAAATACCAACTAGGTGTATCATTTATGTTTAGATGTTAGAGCTTTCCCAATCACACTGATAGAAAGATGAGTTGATCATTTGGCAAGTAATGAAATTTATCTCTGTAGAATGGAAAAGAAGTGAACTTTTTTTTTTCTGATGATTTAGACCCCGGTTCTTAGGCTTTTCATAATTAGTGAACTTGGTAATGATCTTTTTGCAGGGAGATTGTGCATAATTTTTCTTGGTTGCAATTTCTGGGTTTTGGATATATACTGTTAAATTTACAATAGTTTATCAAATCTTTCTGGCATATGAAAGTTTTACTCTTGTTTATGCAAAAGAAGACCACTTCCCTGAAAGTAGAATGGGGAAGAAAAAGAAAAGAAAACCCCCAACTTCTTGCTTGAAAAGATGCGGTTAAATTGGTGCTATAATGTTTTTCTCTTAGTTATATATCCAAGTGCTCATATCAGTTCATTTCAGGAGCGTCAAGTGGTATTGGTGTAGAGACAACACGTGTTCTTGCATTACGTGGTGTCCATGTGGTTATGGCTGTAAGGAATGTGGATGCTGGTAGGAATGTTAAAGAATCAATACTTAAAGAAATACCTGGTGCTAGAATTGATGTGATGGAATTAGACCTGAGCTCACTGGCATCAGTAAGGAAATTTGCATCAGATTATGAGTCCTCAAGTCTTCCCCTAAATCTCCTCATGTAAGAACTATAAACTCCTGCAAATTCAATTATTTATGACCCTTTTCTTCTAATTTCTGCACTATGCGCATTAACGTGCAGTCATATGTGAATTGACTAATGTTCTTTTGAGCTTATGATTGTAGCTTTTGGTTCCCTTTTTGTCAATTGCTTCTTGGTTGTGCTTGGGCGTAAACTTAAATAAAACTTTTCATGAGAGGACTAATATTATCTTTCTTTGCTTGAAAGCAACAATGCAGGGATTATGGCAACTCCTTTCATGTTATCCCATGACAACATAGAACTGCAGTTTGCAACCAACCATATAGGTTAATATATTTCATACTATAACTTTATCTATAAATAGTGTGTTGATAAATTAATGTGATATACTTGAATTGAAAAATAGCTGTGATGTGTACCTGAATCTCAAATCTAATGAGATATGGGAACTATTTGCAGGTCATTTTCTTTTAACCAACCTTTTGTTGGAGACTATGAAAAATACAGCATGTAAAAGCAATAGAGAAGGGAGGATTGTTAATGTATCTTCAGAAGGTCACCGGTTTGCATATCGTGAGGGAATTCGTTTTGATAAAATCAATGATGAATCAGGGTAAAACTGATGAGAGGCTTTACCAATTTGCTCCCTTTTGGGGTGCAAAATCATGGATGAATAGTTTCTTTTTATCCAAGATATTTGCAATATGCTTGATCATTTCTTTCTCATTTAGCTTGCCAATTTACAGATACTACAGTATGTTTGCTTATGGACAATCGAAGCTTGCTAACATATTGCACGCTAAGGAGCTTGCTAAGCGCCTAAAGGTGCACAATATGGTCAATTTCTCTTTGATGTACAATCAATGCATTTCACAATTCTTGAACCTCATATCACTTAATGTATCATGCAGGTGATAACATGTTGACACTGGGAAAATTGTATGTCATTATGAATTTTCTTTATTAATAAATTGTTCTGACAAATTCTTTATGTTCAAGAGTAACCGATCTATTGGTCAACCACTAGTGCTTTTAGTAGAAGATTTTACTTTGTTTCAAATATCTTTCTCTGTACGTGTCTGAAATTGCATTTCTTAGTGCTATACGGTTCAAGTGGAGTTTATTATATCATTTTGAATTAATTACTTAAAGGTCAGCATCTCGTATGCTGTTAATGTGCAAAGTGGGATATAATCTTTGAATGTTTTTCTTTTTCCTTGATATAAACAGGAAGATGGAGTTGAGATAACAGCAAATTCACTTCATCCTGGATCAATTATGACCAATCTCCTGCGCCACCATAGTTTTATCAACGGTAATCCTTCGAATCATTTAAGATTCAGTTGATTTTTTGTGTTTTAAAGATAGTTTCGATTATTGGAAGTTTAAGCTAGCTAGATTACTTTTTGACTTCAATATGACCAGAAATCTCTTCTATTTAGGAACTGCTGATGCATTGGACCTTGGAAAGCCGTTAGCATTTATTAATATTATTGCATTTATTGATAAAGATAATTTTTTTCTTACTATATTACCAGCATAATCTCATGCAATTCAAAACAAGATGGGAAAGTATAATTTAGTAAGGACAAGGTTAGTTGCACTACATTTTACTGGACGGTGATGGTTATAATCTAGTAACAGGAAGTACACCTATGTAATGATGCTTCATTCCCCAGCCTGACTGAACCCTAATATCAAACTGCTTGAAGTCAACTTGTATCAACTTTGGCTTTTGATTACTGATCCAATATATTGCCTTGATGCAGCCATTGGCAATATGGTTGGCAAATATTTCCTGAAAAATATTCCACAGGTAGTTTTTTTAACAAATTGTGATAAAGATTCATTATGCACACGGCTCAGCTGGTTATTGGTTTCTTCTGATATGGTTGTAGGGAGCTGCTACTACATGCTACGTAGCATTACATCCACAAGTTAAAGGTGTTAGTGCAGAATATTTATCGGACAGCAACATAAGCAACCCAAGCTCTAATGCTAAAGATGCAGAGTTGGCCAAAAGGCTATGGGACTTCAGCTTGATCTTGACCAATCCCAAGTAGTTTCTTGAAAAGGCCTTTCCGAGAGGAGTTGCAGTCTTGCAGATTGCATTCTCTCTTGATCTATAAAGTCCAAATTGTATGACTAGACTTTGGTTAAATGTGTTCACAGTTTAATTTCTGTACTCTTAAACTGAAACAGTAAAAAACCACAATATTTTCGTATCATGCAAAGGGAATATAGATTATGGAATGATCTCATATTCTATGGAGAGGATTTGGATTAAATGTGGAGTATTTTCTTGATTGTAGGAGTTTCAACAACTAGTCCTTATTCTCTTGATTGACTGCATGAATTTGAAAACTAGTTGACAACGATCACCACCGTCATAGTATCTATGGTTCAGAGTCCTTTTTACTAGTTCGTTTGATGTGGTGGGGACTTTGATGTAGAAATGTTTGCATCAATAAGAATTGCCATAGATAATGCTGTGGCAACCTGTCAGCCTTCCCTTTTGTCTCTTGATCATCAGTTAACCATGCCAATCATGGGTCAATTACTAAAATTTGGTATTCAATTCAGCAAATAATCTGTTTGAATTTTGGACAAATTGACGCTCAAACAAATAATGAAGAAATCTAGGCAAGACTAGTGACCTTTCTGCATTGTTATGTTCTAAAAATGTATAGCTCAATTCAAATGTTGGAAAGGAAATATAAGTGAAATTAGAATTTAACAATTTGCTTCCAGGGTAATATCGATACATCATACATCAATGTCAGCAGCCAAAATTAAGTTTCTGGCTGAGCTGCTACAGCTGATTCAAAAAAATTTACCAGAAACAGTCAGCAAATTTTCACGTCATCTTGACAAAGCCTAGATTTCGTTTTGGTCACCCACCTTCTGTACAAAAACTTTTTTAACCCCCAACCGCTGTCTTTCCACCTGTACAAATTGTGGAGGGAAAAAATTGGAAAAGAATAGTTCTTCTAACCATGTGTTTCTTAGGTGTAATGAAATGAAATGTACAGTTCTCTTTACACTAGCAGATGCGTTCATTGTCAGGAACTGCTTTAGTAAATCTCCAGAGGTGAGCTTGGTTTTGAACTTCTTTGCCTCCACATTGTGATATACTCTTAAGTGACACAGATTGCCTGCTATGATGGTGAAATATGTTCGAACAAGGTGAAGGGTCTTAGTCACCGACACCAACATGACAACATTATGTGTAGCTAACATCCAGTCTCTAAGAACCTCTTGCATGTTGATTGTTTGTTGCTCACTGTAAGAATTGAACAACCACGCAAAGGGCTCACTTCAACAACGTATCTCCTTTCTGCCATTCAAACTTCCAGAAACAAACATATATTATTTGCATGGAAATTGGAACCTGTAGCCTTAATTTTGAGGGAAAAAACAACACTAGAGCACCAAAAAGCATATAAAATGCATTGAAGCCCTCCCCTGAGTCCTGACAGAGGATTCTGGAGCAAACTAGATTCCTCCATTACGACCAAGCATTGATGAACTTGGGTTCAGGTCCAGTGATGGTTTAAATTTCACATGGTCCCTCAAGAGTTGCTGAGACACATGATCAGCCAAGACTGGCTGCCCATTATAGAGTTCCCTATGATCCCCACTGCCAGGCCTTCCATATTGTTTTCCAAAAGCACCACTATCTGATGAAATCATTTCTTGGAAAACATTAGAGGCTTGTGGAATCCCTCGAAACAGGTCAGGCTTGGCTTCTTGATAAGGCTTGCTAGGATTTCCATAAAAATTACTTTGGGACCTAGGAATAGTTCCAATACCTTCATGCAAGTAGGTCATTGACTGTTTTTGGGGATGAAATGGAATGGGGCCACTACCACCAGTAAGAGGAGTGGATGAACCAGAGGCAGTATGAGGGCTAGATATTAGAGTGGGGGACATCCTTCCACTCAAATGTTGTGGTGACCTTGGATGTAGGAGAGGACTGCCAATAGGAGAAACCGGGGATGACACGTTCCTAGGTGTATGAGCATCACTGCAATAGAGAAGAAATAAGTAAATAAAGAAAATCATAATAAGACCAAAAGATAATGATCATATCTAGATTGGAGAAGTGACGTCAAAATCTTTGTTGCAAACATATTTTCTACTTATAATCAGACCAAGTAAGACATCCAGCAGCTTTCAAGCTAGAGCTAACGGCTTTATTTCTCTTTAAATGAAATCATATAAGTGGATAGAATTCAATACTCCAGGAATATAGGGGGACAAAGGTATTAAGTGCAAAAGGATCTGGCAGAAAAAGCAACTTAGTTACATGTCAACATTCTATAATCATTCATGAAATCATAGTACAGCATCCGATGACAACACGCATTATAATGATAAAAAGTATCAAGTCAGAGTTAGATTAAAAGGAGTTGTAAATATTGACTGGATGCTGATCCATCAATGACTACTGTCATGTAATTTTATGTCACTGTCACAGAAGTGATAATCGAAAAAGCAGTTTTTTATGTTAATTCCCTTAAGAGGCCAACAACATTATTGTCCTCATTGTTCAAGCAGAGTGAGAAAATTTATAGTAGCATGTCAGCAGTTTTGCTAACCCTTTTAGAAGTTGTGCTATTTTAATCTGCAAAACTACCAAAAGCCCTCTATCTACTCGAGTTTGTATACAGCATACGCTCATTAACCACCATGAGGGCACATTTATGCATGCATGTCTAGGCTGCACATGTGCATCCATGTTAGAGAGAGAGAGAGAGAGAGAGAGAGAGAGAGAGACCTGGATCCTGATCCCATTTTTAAACCTCTACAAGGAAGGCTAGCTGTCCCTTCAGAGTCAGCGCACGAAACATTTCTAGTATTTCCAACTCCCTAATGAAATATTCAAAAGCAGAATGAAGCAGTCGGCAATACAGTATAAACCTGAACAGATACAGATGATCAACAAAATCAAATTATTAGACAGATCAAATACACAAAACTTATGCTAATACCAGTGTTCTCATGGCATTGGTAACTGCAGGTGATGGGTCTGATGCATCAGCACTAAAGATGGATCTTTCCAGCGGTGCCACATTTTTTACAAAAGGGTGCTCTAAAAGCTGAGCTGCCGTAGGGCGATGTGAAGGGTTTCTTTGCAAACACTGCCTCACAAAGTGCTTTCCCTCATCTGAAAGACTATCAGGAATTGCTGGAAGTTCTTTACTACTGCCAATCTTGAACAGAGCAGCAACCTTTGAAGTAGTATAAGAAAATGTATCAAATTCAAAATAAAGGTTAAGAAATTTTCATATTGGGCATGCAGCATTCTCCACTAGAATCGAATATCCACTACTATGATGCTCAGGAAAAGTACTTTGCTGTATTAGTGGTGACATTTATTGTAACATCCCAACCTAAATCACATGTGGGCTAGAGCACACATGGCCCATGGTACATTGGGGGCCCATTAACATTTTAATTTGAGTGAGCTAGGGCTTACATATAAGGTCATTGATCTTAAGAAAGCAATATGGTTTTGCCGACAAAAAAAAGGAAGAACTCTCCCTTGCTTTCTTGCTTGGGGTTTGAGATTTTGGGTGATTGAACTTGAGGTTAAATATCCAAGACCACAGTTCCATCTCTTTAAAGTAAGCAAAAACCCTTTATTTATTTGGAAGAATGTTTTATTTATTGTAAAATTTGAGATTAAAAGTTAAGAGGAATACTTAAAGATTCATGTAACTCTCACATAGTTCTTCATGACCTGTTGATGCTAGCCTATTTGATTGGGTTTTTATTATTTAATTAAGAGTTAGTTCTTCATGATTGGTTGATGCAAGCCTATTTGATTGGGGTTTTATTATTTAAGAGTTAACCACGATTATAGATTAGCTTTAAGGCTGGTAACCAAAAAACTCACTATTGTGGGCTAAAGGAAGGGATATATATGCTGTGCAACAAGTTTTCTATGACAGTGAGTTTGTATTAAATTTATGTATTGATAAATAGAACTTTATCATGAGCATTATATATCGTTGGAAAGCTTATTGAATCTACTTTCCAACAAGACAAACAAAAGTTGATTCCAAGTTTTTTATGAAGAGTTGTCAAGTTTTTATTTAAGGGGTTGTAAGCTGCTTGGCAGAAGCATCAGGGATAAATTACGAAAATTCTCTTAAATTTTATACAAGGAATTACGGTTTGAGCCATATATGCTTGGAAAACTTATTGAGTCTACTTTCCAATGAAATAAGAGGAACTGAATTATGAGTCTCCTATGCAAAAATATCTAATTTTCACCAGAAGGTATACATGCTGCCTGGCGGCAGCATATGATGCAAATTGAGAAAATTATTGCAATTAATCTACAAGGAATTAAGGTGTGGGCCATATATGGTTAGAAAGCTTATCAAGTCTAGTTTCTAACGCACCTAAAATATCTTAATTTTGAGTTTTATACATGGAGATATGATCCTTTTAGTGAAAGGGGCGCAGGCAGTCAGCATTAGTTTTAAAGTTAACTATTGTATAATTTAATTGTTTTAGTGTAAATAGCCTCTAAAAGGGTTGATTGATTTTTTATATGTTGAAATGACCTTACATAGGCTGTTTATTATTTTGAGGGAACAAGTTAAGTGATGTAATCGAAAAGAGATAAGTAGAATCACATATACTTTGCTTGTATCCGAACCTATGTATATATTTATGTTTCTAAATGAGTGAAGGTTCTAGTTCTTTATTTTCTATATATGAAAATAGGGTCAAGCTTTTTTTATATATAAATGATGAATTATAATCTCATGAATGGATAGAAAACCATTGCTACAACAATGATTTTAAGAAATGATTATGATGAAATGTGAGCTTATCGATGAAATATGAAATGATTGATAAGACTTAAAAGAACGATTTATGAAAGCTACGAATTTACGCCCTTACGAAGTGGGATCATCAACACCAAAACTAGTTCTATAAACCTAGTTAACGGGTTATAGTAATTAACATAGCCATGATCTTACAGCCCTGCTAGTGGGTTATAATAGTTAGCATAAGGTCTTGACTAATAGGTTATAATAGTTAGCAATGATCATAAGAATAAAATTATCGATACGACTTTTGTTATGGGTGATGATAATGATCGTAGCTAATGATGACTAAATGAGTTATGGTAATGAATTTACGATTTTGAAGATTGATCCATGATTTGCATGAAACGGTATGTACTTGTCCATGATTTATGAATTATAATTAATGAGATGATATGTTTTGATATGATATCAATCTTTTAAATGATTTCTTAAATGTTTTGGAAGCATAATTTGAATGATCCATATGTATGTACGTAAGCGATGTTTGATCTGTAAGGCGTGTAAGCCTATACTTGCCAAACTATGGTTTGTTCATTCCCCTTTTACTTTCCCTTTACAAATGATTAAATTATAGGTTGCTTAATCTTGTGAGGAGCTAGAGGAATGAATTGAAAAGGGCATCTGGGCATTTGAGACATTATTTGGTGAATAAGATTTTATGAAATAATGTTTTTTTTAGTTGTATTAGTTTACATTGAATTCTTAGAGATTTTGCTATTAGTTGGACTATAAATATAAAGTTACTTGAGGATATTATTTTATTTAAGAATTTTTAGTTTTATTTAAGGTGTGAGCCATATATGGTTAGAAAGCTTATCAGTCTAGTTTCCCAACGCACTTAAAATATCTTAATTTTGAGTTTTATACATGGAGATATGGTCCTTTTAGTGAAAGGGACCGCAGGCAGTCAGCATTAGTTTTAAAGTTAACTATTGTATAATTAATTGTTTTAGTATAAATAGCCTCTAAAAGGGTTGATTGATTTTTTATATGTTGAAATGACCTTACATAGGCTTGTTTATTATTTTGAGGGAACAAGTTAAGTGATGTAATCGAAAAGAGATAAGTAGAATCACATATACTTTGCTTGTATCCGAACCTATGTATATATTTATGTTTCTAAATGAGTGAAGGTTCTAGTTCTTTATTTTCTATATATGAAAATAGGGTCAAGCTTTTTTTATATATAAATGATGAATTATAATCTCATGAATGGATAGAAAACCATTGCTACAACAATGATTTTAAGAAATGATTATGATGAAATGTGAGCTTATCGATGAAATATGAAATGATTGATAAGACTTAAAAGAACGATTTATGAAAGCTACGAATTTACGCCCTTACGAAGTGGGATCATCAACACCAAAACTAGTTCTATAAACCTAGTTAACGGGTTATAGTAATTAACATAGCCATGATCTTACAACCCTACTAGTGGGTTATAATAGTTAGCATAAGGTCTTGACTAATAGGTTATAATAGTTAGCAATGATCATAAGAATAAAATTATCGATACGACTTTTGTTATGGGTGATGATAATGATCGTAGCTAATGATGACTAAATGAGTTATGGTAATGAATTTACGATTTTGAAGATTGATCCATGATTTGCATGAAACGGTATGTACTTGTCCATGATTTATGAATTATAATTAATGAGATGATATGTTTTGATATGATATCAATCTTTTAAATGATTTCTTAAATGTTTTGGAAGCATAATTTGAATGATCCATATGTATGTACGTAAGCGATGTTTGATCTGTAAGGCGTGTAAGCCTATACTTGCCAAACTATGGTTTGTTCATTCCCCTTTTACTTTCCCTTTACAAATGATTAAATTATAGGTTGCTTAATCTTGTGAGGAGCTAGAGGAATGAATTGAAAAGGGCATCTGGGCATTTGAGACATTATTTGGCGAATAAGATTTTATGAAATAATGTTTTTTTAGTTGTATTAGTTTACATTGAATTCTTAGAGATTTGCTATTTAGTTGGACTATAAATATAAAATTTACTTGAGGATATTATTTTATTTAAGAATTTTTTAGTTTTATTTAAGGTGTGAGCCATATATGGTTAGAAAGCTTATCAAGTCTAGTTTCCAACGCACTTAAAATATCTTAATTTTGAGTTTTATACATGGAGATATGGTCCTTTTAGTGAAAGGGACGCAGGCAGTCAGCATTAGTTTTAAAGTTAACTATTGTATAATTTAATTGTTTTAGTATAAATAGCCTCTAAAAGGGTTGATTGATTTTTTATATGTTGAAATGACCTTACATAAGCTGTTTATTATTTTGAGGGAACAAGTTAAGTGATGTAATCGAAAAGAGATAAGTAGAATCACATATACTTTGCTTGTATCCGAACCTATGTATATATTTATGTTTCTAAATGAGTGAAGGTTCTAGTTCTTTATTTTCTATATATGAAAATAGGGTCAAGCTTTTTTTATATATAAATGATGAATTATAATCTCATGAATGGATAGAAAACCATTGCTACAACAATGATTTTAAGAAATGATTATGATGAAATGTGAGCTTATCGATGAAATATGAAATGATTGATAAGACTTAAAAGAACGATTTATGAAAGCTACGAATTTACGCCCTTACGAAGTGGGATCATCAACACCAAAACTAGTTCTATAAACCTAGTTAACGGGTTATAGTAATTAACATAGCCATGATCTTACAGCCCTGCTAGTGGGTTATAATAGTTAGCATAAGGTCTTGACTAATAGGTTATAATAGTTAGCAATGATCATAAGAATAAAATTATCGATACGACTTTTGTTATGGGTGATGATAATGATCGTAGCTAATGATGACTAAATGAGTTATGGTAATGAATTTACGATTTTGAAGATTGATCCATGATTTGCATGAAACGGTATGTACTTGTCCATGATTTATGAATTATAATTAATGAGATGATATGTTTTGATATGATATCAATCTTTTAAATGATTTCTTAAATGTTTTGGAAGCATAATTTGAATGATCCATATGTATGTACGTAAGCGATGTTTGATCTGTAAGGCGTGTAAGCCTATACTTGCCAAACTATGGTTTGTTCATTCCCCTTTTACTTTCCCTTTACAAATGATTAAATTATAGGTTGCTTAATCTTGTGAGGAGCTAGAAGAATGAATTGACAAGGGCATCTGGGCATTTGTGACATTATTTGGCGAATAAGATTTTATGAAATAATGTTTTTTTAGTTGTATTAGTTTACATTGAATTCTTAGAGATTTGCTATTTAGTTGGACTATAAATATAAAATTTACTTGAGGATATTATTTTATTTAAGAATTTTTCAATGATTATGGAAGAAGGTTTCATATTGCTTTGGGGTTTTATTTCAAGGAAATTTGGCTGTGTCATGTCTAGGTCTTGGGACTTGACATTTATTCTCTACAATATCTGCCAAAATCAAAATTTCATGCATCTATATAAAAAATTTACTTACCCCTTCATACTGGCTCCAAGGTGGCTTTGTGGTTGCCATCTCCAAAACTGTGCACCCAAGGCTCCATATATCAACAGCAAGGTTACATCCATTTGAATATTTTATAACCTGAATGAAAAATCGAATTAGACAATATTACCAAAAAGCATCATAGAAACGATGACCTTGGAATATAAAAATAAAACCAGGCTGACCTCAGGTGCCATCCAATAGGGGCTTCCCCTGAATGATAATGGACAAGATGAGCCAGTAATCTGCAAATTATTTCAGATAACCTATATTAGAATCTAGAGACATGCAATATATGCATAAAGTATTCTTACTAAGCAAATTACAGGGATTACTTTTTCTTACTAGGATGTACTGAAGAAAATACAACTCAGGAATTTAAATTACTTATCTTATGATAATATCGTATGTCAGGATCTAGTTCAGATAACCACAGCAACATAAGCATGATTTATTTTGGTTTTTTAGGTAAAACCATTAACTATGAAATTATAGATAACTGCTCTTACGTGCTTTGCCATCCCAAAATCAGCCAATTTCACACGGCTATTGGGGTCAACCAGTATGTTTGCTCCTTTTATGTCTCTGAAAAATTTGCACATCAAAACAAATGATTTTCCAGCTTGATTGACATAATGAGAGACTGATATTCCCAAAGTGAAAAACCCAAGTAAGGCCAGAAAGTAAACTCACCTATGAACAGTATTTGTAGCATGCAAGTAAGCCAACCCAGACAAAATTTGTTGAGTATAATTCCGAATGGCACTTTCACCAAACTGACCATACTCTTGAAGCAGTTTATAGATGGAGCCACCAGAAACATACTCCAAGTATATGTAAAGTTTGTCATCTACCTGTTGATGACATAAAAAAGGCAAACAAACAGAATAAAAATAATGCATCAACTGATCCTGTTGATCTATTTATATGTGATGTGAAGAGAAGTATGATGACAGACAATCAGAGAACAATTACAGGAATGACAAATTTACAAGGTCTTAAAAGAAAAAGAACAAAAAACTCACAGTTTCAGATCCATAATATTGCACTATATTTGGATGTCGTAAGCGACTTAGCATCATTATTTCCTGCCAAAACACCATCCATGAATAAAGGTTACCTAAAATTATTAACACCAAAAGAAAAATCAACACTCAAATGAACATCAGGGAAAACATGATTTCTGTTCTTAAAGCCACAAAATTTCCAGCAAATCCATTTTAATAATAATACAAAACTAAAAGAAAAAGACTTACTTGTCCCAACTGCTGTGCACTTTCCTTTGATTTGGAGTCATCTGAAAACAATGTTACTTCCTTCATTGCGCACATCTCCCCACTTTCACTAAAGCAAGAGACAAAAGAAGGAAGAAAAGGAGAGAGAAAACAAATCAACAATTGAAATAGTAAGGAAATTGCAATAAAAAAAAGGATCATGCAATTTGAGGGGGAAACAAGGAAATCAACAATGTTGAACAAGGAATGCGCACATTCAAATTTGATGATAAAGTTAACAAGGACTAATCCAACCTCAAACACATTGTGATTTGATGATAAAGTTAAACAAGGATTAATCCCAACCCAGACACATTATGATTTGAAAAATAGCTTGGGTTCAATCTCACATATTGCTCTATAAAGATAAAGTTTTGGCTATGAAAACAAATAATGTCACAAATGCAGCAATAAAAAATGAACAGAAAGATCTTTATATGAAGCAGATAAATAGTGGAGCATAACTCATTTGACAAACCTGTTAAAACCAAGATACACGTGTCCAAATGTGCCCCTCCCCAGCAATTGTCCTTTCTTCCAGCGGGAGCCAGGGCTTGTTGGGTTTTCTGCCCTACCAGGACTTCGTAGCAGTGATGGAGATGTTGCTGCTGAATATGCAGGGGAAAAGGGGCAAGTTTTAGATATTGTTATTGGGGGAAGAGGCAACCTGTGGCTTTGCTGTTTCCCATCATCGTGTCGGCTTGTAGGTGACTCAGTGGCAGCCCCTGCAGCACGTGGATGCAAAGGGGTGACAGCACCACTGTGTATTCTGGAGCTGGGACCAGGGCTTGTCATTCTAGGACTAGGTATTGGAGAACATTCAGGGCTACACCTGCTTTGTGGCCAAAATAACTGTCCTGACATATCTCCACCAACAGAATTATGTCCAGAATTATGGCCTGAACCTGGACTAGAGCAGTGTCCAGATCCCAGGAAAACTATGTCAGAGAAAGGCTTTCCTGTACACGGACCGGAGTTCCAAAGTTGCTCAATACCAAATGCTCTCATTGGACTTCTAGAAGGGCTGGACATTGAGCTCTCTGCAGCACTAGAGAAAGCACTACGTTGAGGAATCTGTAAATTCTGCACATGATTGCTCAATGGTCCTCGCTTAGGTGATGTTGATAGGTACTGATTATTCAAAGACATATTAGCTGGCTTCAGTATCTCTTTTGGGTCCTTCTGATTGATAACAAGTAACTGACCCTTGTGTTTTATGCTTCATAAAAATTAAAAATGATAATCAATCAGTGATGACATACAAGTAGTGAAGAGGGGCAGTTCAGAAACACTATAAGTTTAAATGATGTTAGTTAAAACTCACCCAGAAGGACTGTTTGCAGCAGTCCTCTGTCTATTTTCATAATCAGAAGTCAGGGGGCTAAGTAGACGAGAATCAGATGGGTCATCACTATCAATGGAGCTATTGCTAGAAATAGAAGCAGTAGCAATATCTCCCTCGGCATCTACAGGATCCAGTTTGTTAGAGACTTGTCCAGGTTTTGGCAACGGTAAAAGCGGTGGTGGCCTTGAACCTCTGTCAAATCCTGGTCTTTTTGATGCATTAATTCCAGAATTAGTACGTACAATACTAGCATGGTGCATCCCAGGAAGTGGAGGTGGTTGGGCATTACGCCCTTCTGCAAAACTTTGACAGTGTGATACTTGCGAGGGTGATGGTGATCTTGACGGGACCTGAGACAGAGATCCCCTATCTGAAACAGTATCATTATGGTGTCTTCGAGAACCCTCTGATCTGCTAGTGGATTTGTCATCAGATGTGATCTTAAGCTTGCGATTTATAGCATCAATGAACCTCTCCTTGCTTGCTTTCCTTTTGTCTTCTTTGGATGAAGACTTTCCCCACCATGTAGGCATATTTGTGTAATATAGGTTAAATTCGGAGTACAAGATCCCCTTCTTAATTACAGTTGATACTTACTTCAACATCCATGATTATACTTGCTGCTAACATGCAGGTTAAGCTTGAACCAGGTCCGATGGCCTTTTTCCTTGACATAATTACATTAAAAGCACAAAGAAATGGACATAACTCAGGGCATGCCAATAAAAGCATGTTGCATTCTTTAAAGATACATTAGCCTGTAAGAACCTGTATAAAAGCTTCATCATGAGCCTCTAGCAAAGGATATAGCAAAAGGAAAAACATAAATAAGAATTATACTAAATATACAGGTTGGGAGATAAATGATAACATGCAAATGGAAAAGCAGAAAGGACCCTTCATAAGCACACAGACAGCATAAGTTCAGAATCTGGTAAGACTGCAAAAATCATGTTAAAAACTTTTCGGCATTAACTTCCTCTTTAAAAAGCAGACATACAAGATGCATTAACTTCAAATTTCACATCTAAAAGTCATAACTTTGAATTTATCTAACTAATCATTGGTGCACATCCAGAAGATGCATCCTAGCTTGACCATTTAGTCCAAAACTACTTCTAATTAATCTATAGGGCATTCCAGCTCAATTTTACAGCAAAAAGTAGAGCAGCTATCGAATATGTGCACAAAAAAAGGGGCCCTTGCCATTCAATTTATTACTATCAAAACAGATCCTAGATATTGGTACCCAGTTTTCTACATAAAGTGACATATAAACTCAATCTCAAGAACCCAAAACTCAGTTTTTTAACCAGGATCTAAAAATTAAATCATTTCATATATCCAACAAAGAAAAAAAAAACATCACTTTACAATAATTAACAAAAAATAAGAACTCAAAATCTGACAAGTTACACAGCAAAACAACTCAAATCAAAAACCCATCTCCAAATTCAACACAATCTAAGGACCCATAAGTTAATGAAAAGAATTCAACCACAATGAAGAAAGACACGCTCAAATTAAACTCTAAAAGTAGAGTAGCCCACACTTCACTTAACTCAAAACTTGAACATAATAAACAAATCAAATGTTGAAAACCCTTAAACGTCATCAAATTAATCCAAAATTTTCAGCCCAAAACACCCAAAAAAAAAAAAAGACTTTAAACCAAAAATAAAAGCAAAACACCCAAATCATTACTTACAGTGAAGTGCAAGACTGCAAGCATATCCCCGTCTAAAAGAAGTTTTAAGTTTCCAGAGAGACCGCAAAGAGAAAACTCAAAAGGCTCTGAAATGAATGAAAGAGAGAGAAAGGAAGAAAATTAAATTAAAAAGCTCTTTAGAGAGAGTAAATGAGAGCAAGCTCCTTAGAGAGAGAAAGGGAGAGCGATTTTATTTTATTTTATTTTTTTCTTTTAGTTTTAGTGAGCGAAATAATAGAGTGCCGTCTTTCCGCGTTTAATTTGTGTCATAAGAACCGAAAAAAATAAATTATTTGAAAATTTTGGGAAACACTCTCGTGAAAAAGCTGCTGTTCGATTCCACGTTGTGACATGAGATCAGGACCGTCCGATTTGACTTCGATGACGCATCGTTATTGATTTTCAGTCAAGTTCGTTATAGAAAAGTGGAGTGTTTTGTGGTTATCGTGCTAAGAGATGCGTTGGATTGGTTACCCCCCCCCCCCATCCTCTTTCTCAATTATTTTTAACGGCAACTTAAAATATATTCCCATTATCATTTAACCCAAATGCTTTTACGCGGAGGTTTGTTGGTTTTTAATTGAAGATACCTTGCTTTGGATTATTTGGAATTGGTACCTTAATTTCTTTTGTTTTCATCTTTGTCCTTCCTCATCTAACGTATCTTACGTATAAAGGTTTTTTTAAAACATAAAATCTTAATTTTTTAAGTAAAAAAGTTATTTAAATTACAATATAAATTGTAAAAAATTATTAAAATTTATATTATTATTTACATGCATTATTTTGTTTCTTTTATTTAACTTTCAAATTATTTAACTCAACTTTACTAACAAATAATTTGTTCAATTTGTTAAGATTTATTTTTTTTTATGAAAAAATTTTCGATTTAAGTTTTGTCGATAATCACTTATTGAGATCATATCGAATGCATAATCTATAATCACTTATTTTAAATTATCAAGTACGATATATTTTATTTTAATTTGAAAAATTTAATAACTTATTTACTTTAAATTTTTTTTACAAAAAAAAATTATTTAATACAACTTCAATGTACAATTATAAATATTGGTAGATTAAGATCAATTAAAGTCAAGTCAAATTAAATTCAACAGGTTTGAAAAGAATTTATGCTTGAACTTGAGGCATGAAAGTTTTCTAATTTTTTGACCATTGAAATAAGATCTTGTTGACAACTTCTGGGTTACTTTCACATATACAGTATTACGCACAATGTGTTATTTTAGTCTCCTTCGGGGTTTTACTTTATATTTTATAGTATATATTTTTCAAGCATTGTTGACGTGGTCAACAATTTCTATCATACAAACGAGAGGTTCTTGAATTTGTTTACAAAATTCCAACATCTTTTACTCTTATGTCAAGCCATCGAAAGTGAATTAAGGTCGTCCACCGGTTTCTTTTGAAAAGGATATCAAATATTCTGTTTGATCCCTCAAAAGAATCTTTGAAACAAATATATATATATATATATATATATATTTGGTCATGGTTTTCTAAAACGACTTTGAACCTAACAGTCAAATGTAAATAAGAACTTAAGAAGTGTCGGGAGACATGGGAAGAATTTCATGCTTGGACTTTTTGTCATTTCGTTGTTGCTTTAGTCTTTTCTACGTCTATTAGCAGACAAGCCACGAAAGGGTAGGGTTGGCCTTGGCTTGTGAGGCAGAAACCCAAAGGAACGATGCCTAGATTTTTCAATTGAGGTTCGAAAGTCAATTAAAACTTGGTATTTTCTTTTTGCTGGATGCATCTGCAATTTGAAGCTCTTTGATATAGGCTGCCTTAGTCATACCTTGTTCAGCAAAATGGGCATTCCCCATGGGAGGATAGCTTCATTATTAGTAGGAAAAACTCTTGATCCTTCCCATGCAATCTCTGTTGCATATATAGCTTGGTAAACTACTAAATAATGATGATGGCTAGTAACCAATTTGATCCTTGTCACCAAATGAAAGCCATTCATTTCCTGATTTTGATCCTATATTAAGCACAGAAAAAAACTGAATACTGATAGTTTGGGATACCAGATACAGGAATGTTATAAGGGAAACATTATACTTATGAAGTTAAAGATAATGATTCCAGAATTGGAAATTTAGGGACTGATTTGAAATTATTGGATCGACATTTAGGCTAAAGGAGCTCATCTACTTACGCGATTCTGAGGAGTCTTCCTAACAGTAAACAAAGATTTCTCCGGGGAGGGTAATTACACCAAATAGACTGTCAGGTTGGCCACAGATTAGCTAGTGAACTTTTTACTGGTTCGAGTCAAGTCTTGGGGAGAATGTATCTAAATTCTTGAATGCTTCATTAGGATTTTTGGTGGCAAATATAATATCACCACACATCAACTTTACTCCTGATTTGGAACAGAAGAGATCAACTGTGCCTACTTGGAAAGATTTGGGATATGGAACCTGAAGCTTAGCTCAATTGATTCGTGCAATCATGTCTTTAAGAAATAGCATCCAGCAGGTCCGGAGTTAAAATTTCAACACCTACAATTCTTTTCTCTAGACCATGTTATGGCCTTCTTTATAGAAAAAAGAAAGATTTGGGATGTCAATTAGTTCATTCTGCAAAGTCAAATAAAGGAAGAGCTTACTAAGAAGTTGACTTGCTGGTGTTAAACAGGAGTTCATATATGATACCAAATCCTAAGTTCAATCAGTCAGAGACATAAAAATGGAACTAAATTCATGCCACCATCCATTCAAAGGGATTCATTTCATACATAGAATCAAAGATGCCGAATCAGGATTACAAGGATGTTAAATCACATTGAATTAAGTTCAACAATCCCTTCCTGGACCCCCATAAAAGAAGCCATGAACATCTCCTTCAATAGGACCAATGTTATAACACTTGGGATCATCTGCGATGTACTGGAGACGTGTTGGAATAGGATATTCTGAATAACCGGATTCTTCAATTTGAATATCTCGGATATAGCTGCCTTATTCATTCCTTCTTCAGCAAAATGGCCACTTCCCATGGGAGGATTATCTGCATCATTACTACTGAAAGCACCTCCTCCCCATGTAATCTGTGTAGCAAAGTTTGATAAACTTGTAAATAAGGACTCTGGCCAGTACCCAATTTTCTGGTCATAATTTTCACTAAGTGAAAGCCACCAATTTTCTGTATCTTGATCCTACAAGCACAACATTGAGTGAAACTTCGAATTGTTTCGAGAGAAATAAATTCTTATGTTCTAATTACACGGTGAGAAGCTTTTAGAAGATGTTGAAAGCATACCCAAGATATAAAACATACAAAATCAAATTGCTGCCCTCCATAGACAGAACCATTGTGGAGAATTGCACCAAGAGGGATATCCTTGTTGATTTGCACAAAGCCAGGGCAGAACAAATTATAGCAGCCTTTATTTCCTGCCCGCATAGAGAAATTTGACATGTAAATTCTAAGTTCTAATTTCAAGTCAATGGTTGATGACCAAAAACAAAAGAAACTAAAAGAGCTCACGCTCCAAGAGGCAAAAGTTCGAATGTAATTGTTACCTTGTAATGCTGGATTTATCTCAGATGAGTTTGATTGTAAAAAGTAAACGTGAGCTGCGTGAGTTTATTTGAAATAAACAAAGGCAAACTAATAGAAAATCCTGAATTACCATTCATCCAACTTGAATATTATCAATTTGATTTTGTGATCCACTTTGAACCCTCACAAATGCTTCACTGAATTGGGTATTTGAAACAGATGGATTTTGTATGTTGATCCGGCTCCGGTAAAATTCTCACCAGTTTGTAGCAATCTTATTGCATTCTTTAGATTATTGTAAATCAAATTAACCACTTTATTAAAAAAAAATTAAAGGAAATACGGACCAAAATAAATAAATAATTACATGATAACCAGGAGAGGCAAGTACAGCAGTTGGTTGAGTACTTTTCATAAACATTTTAGCCCTTACTAAGTCTTCCTTGCTGGTCCTCTTGATTGGAACTGTACCTGATGGGCAGCCTCCATTCTCCAATATTCCAATTTTCAGTGACTTGGCTGGCAATGAGCTTGCACTTTTCAATCTTTTCTGAAAACTAGGCTCCATCTATGCTATTATTTTCATTTATAAAGCAAAAGCAAAACCTTAATTAATTATGTGCAAGTGGTGACATTGATGAAGCTATTTATTTTCTAACCATACACCATGCATGATTGAGCAACCATTCAAGCTTGACTAAAAATAAAGGGGTAGGGGTGATTTACCTGGATTTTATGGTTTTTGAGCAAAGGATGATTAAATGCTGGTTGTTTTTTGATCTTGACACAATCAAATATATCACCTTCATCAGTCTGTTAAAATGATAAAATTGATCATTAATTCTTTAGCACTCAATGATAACAAATTCATAAATTTTTTTATAAGATTAACTTTGTTTTCCATTGAAATAGCAAATTATTACCTCAATGCTCTTGACAAAGGGTTTCTTGAGAATCTAGACCTGTTTCTCTAAATCAAGATCTTCAAAACTTTTCTGCCATTCTGATCCATTTGCGATTATAGAGAAACACAAAGAAAATAGAACTAGAAATGGGACAAGCATCAAACTTGAGCCCTGATAAAGGCCATTGATAATTGTAGGTGCCATGGATGAATTCTAGATCTCAATTTCTGCACCAGACTGCCCAAGGCCTACTTAATGTTGCGAATTATAAGAACATCCACGTGGGTTTACACACAAAAAATGAAGTTCTTGTCATTTTTGCCATTTGTCCTTCTTCCTTTTCTTAGTATTTAGGAGAATATTTGGTTTTAAAGACTATTTTTCAGTTACTGATTAACAAAATTTATTGTAAAGGTTAATAACTTTTCAAGATTCAATTTGAATTTAGAAGGATTTTTCTTGGAGAAGGATTAAGAAAACTCCATGAGATGGTTCATTATATGGACCAAAGTGGACCCATGTAAACAAGAACAATCTTTTTTTTTCTCAGCAAATTGAAGATAACAACTCGAATAGTTTAATTCTGAGCTTCACACTAGTGATATCAACAAATAAAATCATTCATCCTTGAAGTTTTGGACATATAATGAATGCACCTAGCTGGCATGTTCCGGGTTGTTTACACTCTCAATAGGATATCAAAACATATGCTGTGGGCCTTTGGTGAAGGATAATTATAACCCCTACCCTCAAAATTGCTCTTTTCTCTTATATATATGATCCATCAACCATAGTTGACCCTATTAGAAGAAAT